CCATCGTGTCACGTGAGCGTATATGTCCGATTATCGTTAAAATTTATAAATTTTCGTCATTTACATTAACTAACATAAATAAAGGTGTATTATGTATTATGCACAATAATTTTAAGTACAGACATCATTGAGTAATGGCAAACGTAGATATATCTGGGCGATGTATAGTAAGACAATGTACTTCAACTATTCATACTAATTCTAAAATATCTAACATTTTGACGGAAAATGAAAATATATCTCATAACCATAATATTGTGGAAAATCGAGATATTCAGCGACAAATTGTTCGTAATAATTGCAAACGAAAGGGACTAATGTACTTCGGGGCGACCAAATAAATTTATTCGTCGTGATCTGATGGCGGTTGAAACTACAGAACTATTACACGACGATATGTTTAGTATAAGAAAATCCATGTATAGAAAATGTCGGAAAATAATTCTTGCAACACCTACTTCATTATTTGAACTCATCCAACAATTGAAAATCAATAATATAACTACACATCATAATGAAACATTTTGCTATGTAGATGAAGAGTCAAAAATCGTAATATTCACGACAAACAATAATTTATAATATTTAGTCAATAATAGTCATTCTATTTTAGGCGATGGTACATTTTACGATTTTCCCACTAATTATGAACAAATCTATACAATTTATGTTCTACATAAATCAATTTACGTGCAAGTAGTGTATTTTTTGTAGCTATCCAAAACAACTGATGTTTATGAAAAAATGTGGCATTTAATAAAAACATTATGTAAGAAAGAATTAAAACCTCAAAATATACTTTTGGATTTTGAACTATCTGCTCATAATGGCGTTTTACGTATATTTCCAATTTCCAAATGCACATATTAAATGTTGCCGGTTTCATCTTGGGCAAGCCTGGTATAGACAAATTGCAAAATTGGAACTTAAAATTGAATACGACCAAAATGAATCAGAAATTTCACATTGGTTAAAGTATTTCTTTGGATTGGCTTTTTTACCTTCTACTGAAATTTCTGATGAATTTTATGAACTATTTTCTATTCCTGAAAATCAGAAGATATCAGCATTTTCAGATTATATTTTAGCAAATTTTATTGAAAATGACAGTAGATATCCACCACATCTCTGGGCTGAGCCACCTTCGAACGAGCCAAGGACTACCAATGGTCCAGAATCATATCACCGTCATTTGAAAGATCAATTTTATAACCCACACCCATCTATTTATAATTTTATTTAGGTGATTAAAGAAAATCAAGCAGAAATTTATTTAAAAATACAGTCAAATGGTCGAAACACTACAAATCGAAAATCTAAAGTCATCTTCAATACAAAAACTTATCTTTGTATACAGAAAAAAAAATTTCTAGATTGGAATACTTGAAGATAGTGAGTTTAAAATTTAAAATTTAATTTTAAGGTACCTTCTCATTATTATACCTATTAGTTTAATAAATGTATTTATTTATGATAGGTACTTGTTTATAGATTTTTTGATACTTTTTTAACCAATTTAAAATTATACTCAAAAGTATATTTTTTATTTTTTACTGATTTTAATATCACAGTTAATGCTTATTTAAGTATAAATAATAACTACGAATTTAATTAAATACACTTTTTTTATAAAATTGATTTGGGCTTATGGGTTATTAAAAAGGTATTTTTTTTTTTGCGCTTATGGGCTACATCCGTTTAATGGTTATACCTTTTTTGGGCATACTGTGTTTTTTTTTTGACATGATTCACATAATTTTAAATAAATATTTATAGCCTCAATATTAATATTTTTATATTTATTATTAACAGCATACGCAATATGATTTGTACCTCCGTGGCTTGTTGCAATATGTGCTTCATGAATAATTTCATATAATTTATTACAGCGAACATAGTAACGCATTTCTTCGAAAGTACCATTAATCGGAGCAATCAGTTTTTCTTCTCCATCAATATTAACAATATCAAATCTTTTAAGCCACCGATAGTGAATTGATTTTTAAACATTGATAGATTTTGATTTTTTAACTTCATTCAATAATACATCATATTTTTCATTAGTTATATATAAACAATTTTTATCATTTTTTGCTGCAACAACTTCATTTAAAAGTTCGTAAAACCGTAATTTAAGCGACATATTTAGATAATAGGTATACTGTTCGTAACAATTGTAAAACGAATACTGCTTGTAAAATAATTTTCAATAGGCATGGATATCAATTTATTATCTGTCTTATTAACCTGTTCTGTATCGTAAACTAAACTGTATGTACAACACAATGTTTAGTAGGAATAACTTTTATCACATAGGTAGGTACATTTTTGGCTAATTTATTGATTGCATACGTAGGTATTAGATACCCATCTCAAGGTCTTCCATTATCATGATTTATATTAAAATCGAAACAAAAATTCCCAAAGTCGATCACAATATAATTATATACAAGTAAAATACAATATAATATAATTAAAATTTAAATGATTATTTAAATGTGTATTTATCAAATATACTAGTAGAAAAAAAGCTAATATAGTACCTATAGTATACTTAAATAATAATTATTCTTATTAATAATAAATAATTGGTAAAAAATGTCGGACTATTACCAACACTGGTTGTTTATCTTAAGATTTACCAAATCTCATTTGTAAAAGTCTGAACTATAATAATCATTTGGGGTTTGACCAAACTAATTTGTTTATCCTAAGTTTTACCAAAATCGATCAGTAAATGTCCTAAATTCGGACATTTACCGGTTTTCGTACCTTTACCGTAACATATATATATATATAAAATTATTGAAAAAATATAACAAGATATTATTTATATAGAGAATATAAATTTTTTATAATGAGTTCATCTCCACACTATCTTATTAATTTTGTCTTTGTATACTGCATTTTAAATAATATACAATAATTTAAACCATTATATTATAAAAACTATTATGAAAATTTTTTTCTTTTTTTATTATATTTATTATATGTAGGGGTTTTTATATTAAAAATATAAAAAAAACGTATTAATTATCGAGAATTGAAAATGTATACGTGTTGTATAAATATATGGGGTGATCCATTTAACATCACATTTTTAAATAATTTTTAAGTTGTTTCAAAACAACATTTTTACTTTTTTTTTTTATCGTTATCAGTTTTTAAGTTTTTTTTACTCTTTTGAATAACAACATATTATATATTTTTAATTTCATACTATGAAGCAAAATATTATTCAGAGTATCTAAATAGTAGTTTATTAGTTACTTAATTAAATGAACAGAGCAGTGGATCATCACTCCACTCCGCTCAACTTAACTTTAAAATAAGTTTAAATACATATAAATCATAAAAACTTATTTATAACAATATTTATTCTTACTTAAAATATAATTATTAATAATGGCCACTTGACGTGAATTAAAATGATTAATATACTTTTTTTACTAATCGTAATTTTTAGACATTTCCATTACGAACACATAATTTTTAAATTGGGAATATTGCTTATTTTAATATATATTAATAATATTGTTTATTTGTGTTCATAAACAATAATTAATACATTTATTTATTATTTCATTCTAAAATTAACGAAGTTATCATAACATACTATGATAATATAATAATCCGGAGCTATTGAATTGGCTCCCTAACTCAGGTAATCATCATGTGATTTATTTAATGGTCAGTCTTAGTTTCTTTTTATTATTTATTTTAAACCTTAAATAATAGACAATCTATACGACATAAAATGTACAATACGCATATATGTGAGAGTTGTGTTTGTTCATAATTATACGAGAATGAAATCACTTGTTTAGCATATTTTCAATGGGGAAAGAAATATAATGTAAATAACTTATTTAAAATAAGTACATAATGCATATAATTATACATTTATAATATTATTTACATTTATTTTTTAAATTTGTAATGTTTCACTACCAGTATCTCTAAGGTGATATGATAAATTTTTGAGTATATCTCCATTGTTGAATTTTAATAAAAATCTCACCAACAGTTCTCCATACATCTAATTACAGGAATATTATGTAAATCAATGTTAACTGGGTTATATATTATTAAAGCAATAATAATGCAAGCAAATTTTAACTTTTGACGACAATCCATGTAGATACCTATGCTGTATAGATACTTTTAATAACACAAATTATGTTTTAATTTCATTACCTAATCGGATATTTTCATAGAGTTCGTAATAATATTGTCATCTAAAGTTGCTACGTGTACTTGTATGCATTTTATTATAACGTCGTATGCATATCTTTCTATATGCATGTGTTCTACTCTTTTAAAATTTGAAGAACAAGCGCAACTGGAATAAAATAACTTTACCGGAAACGAACCTATTCCAGAGGACAAAAACGCAAACCATCGTTTTTCCATCGCTTACTCTTAAACATGTCGATTATTTTTTACAACTTACGAGTTGATAGTCAATGCTCGTAATATAAAAACTTTAAATACAATAAGAATGGCACCACATATGCGACGTCGTTGATCCGTATTACACTGATCATAGTATTTTTATTTATTAAAATTGACAATGAATAAATACATATTAATATACTGATGATTTTTTACATCAAACGTTCATTTTGAACAGAAGAACTTGTCAATAATTAAAGTTTTGATTTTCAGTGATACGATTGATTTTATATTTATTCATGTCTTATTGTTTTTATGCTAACGAGTTTTGATAACTTTCAAAATGTAATAGAAAACAATGTAAAAAAAATGTTTTAATTAATTTAAAATGCTGATATCTACTAAATTAATTTTAATGAGTGTACGATTTAAATACCTACTCTAATGTTTCGAATAATGTATGAGTATGACAATCAGGAAAATGTAGTAGTTTAAGAATAATTCATTCATATGATGGAAAACTTGTGTGGCTTAATAAGGTTACTGAATTTGTTATGTCATTCTGTCTGTATCAAATATAAAATATTATTTTACTCAATACTCACAGTTGCTCTGCGCTGATCGACAGTTCTCCAGGAATCAATTTTTCTATTTGATTGCTTTCGAAGTCTCTGGAAAAATAAAATTGTAAGTTAAATAATTGTATCGATAACTAATATTGTTAGTTGTAGTAATAAGTCTAACTTAAGATACTTACACTATATGAAGATGCTGTTTAGTCTTCAACAAACTTAGATTAGGTAGTTTCTTGATTCCTGTTCGAACGATTCCTCTATATTTTTAAACAAAAACATATTATACTAAATAATTATATTTAATAAATATGTAATAAAAATGGTCTGTAAATTATATATTACTTATATTCATAAATCATAATATTATAAAAATATAGTTATGTATTTTTTTTTAATTATCAAAAAATATTTCTAGAATATTTTAACTACAAAATAAAATATTAACAATGATTAAATTATAACTTTAAATCTAATTATATATATATTATTGGTAATTGAAATATACTAAAAATCAAAAATTTGTTTAATATTTCGAACATATGTTATAGGTAGGTAATAGGTATTCTGTTTATATGTAAATATATCGAAATATTCAGGAAAGAATTTTATGAAATTAAAAATATATGAATTTCATAGTAATGTTTGTCATTGAAAATAACTATATAATAAGTAATATAATGTTATAGAAATGTATACAAATATCCACCACTAATTTAAAAAGTTCCTACTTTTACATACATTTTATTTCAAAAACACGAAAATTGATTGAAAAACAGAAAAAAGAGTGTTTTTCTATTGTGTAGTGTTATAAAAACCGCTATGTTTCAAAGTTAAAAATGATTTTATTGCTGATTTCATAGTTTTAATTAACAAAGTTTTCTGCAATTACTTTGGATTCATAGCTCGAAAATAGTTGTAAAAACTAGTACATTTTTTTATTTTTCTAGTTTCATTGAACTTATGATGTATTTGTCTCTTGATCAACGATGTAACAATAAATAGGGCTTCAAAATTAAATAGATCGTAGACATTTTTAAAACAATTTAAATAACGTTAAAAAGTTTACGTATATATTGCAAATAAACATAATAAACATAAAAAACAATCAATCACCTATATTACTGTTTTGATTTTTGTAGTTATTTGAAAGACTATTATAAATTTAATGTTCGCCAAAAAAGTTAAAAGAGAACTTAATATTTTTTTCAAATTGAATGACTTTTTCGTTAAAGTTATTTATGTAAAAACAATGTACTTTTTTAAAATGCAAAAGATTAAAATCTTAATTTCAAAACGTGTTGTTATTTTAAGAAAATTTAATTGATATCATATTATTTACTATAATATATCTTTAATATGCGTAAACAAATAAACAACAAAAAATAAAAATAAAATAAAAAAAATAAAAGCATTAAAAGGCAGAAGTAAAATTTAAAAATAAACACCAAATTTTCTTATAATATTTTAAAATATAACTTTTTTAAATCGGTCAAAATTATAATATTATATTGTAATCTATTGTATTGCAACTATTATGTAATAGTTAATTATGTAATATTATATAATATTATGCAAATAAGTAATTAGACTACCCAAGTTTAATATATTATTATAATTGGGCAATAAGTGTATACAATTTTACAAAAAATATATATGTACCTTTACGTTATATACAAAACTCAAATTTACAACATGAACAAAAAAAAAAAAATATATAAAATATGAAACTGGAAATTGAATTTTCTTCACGTGATTTTTTTTTTAAGGCTTAGGATTTTCATTTGTGGAATGCTAAAAAAAAATCACATGGTTTTTATGTTGGTAGATAATAAAGTAAAAAATATTATTCGATTTTTTTCAGAAATAATTATTTATTCTTGGTTAATATTGTACGAATTAAGTACAATTTGATGGTACTTCAAGAAGGTCGTTTTTGTCATGAAAATTGTACATTACTATGACTTTTACAATACTAATTTAAATTATATAATACCAAAAAACTTTGAAATTTTCATACATTACAATGGTAATGATATTATAATATATACTCATACATCTACACATATATAATATATGTATATATTATATCAAGTAATCAGTTTGGAAACTGTTTAAATGTTTTATGCTTTATTATTCCATTAGTATATTAAGTGAATATATGCTAAAAACAAAACTAGAGAAATGAGTATACCAACTCCCTTCCCATCCCTCAAATAACACTCAACTGAGTATTTTAAGTATTGTTTAATAAATAATCATATTAAAATAGTATAAACATTTAATTCATTAAAAAGCTAATTTCAAAAGTTGTAAATTTATTGAAAATATGGTTTTTTACCTCTTACATCAATTTATTTTAATACTACATAGAAAGACAAGTTATTATTTTTGTACGTAGAATTTGTATATATATATTATATACTAATTGTGTATGTTATAAATGAATCTCTTTTACATGTCTATAATATTGAATTTAAGAGAAAGATACAATCCTAATAAATTGGAAATAATTTCAAGTTTTTTAAACTTTTTCTACAATATAAAAGTTGTGTTGTCAAAGTTAAATTTTCTCAATTTTAAAACGAAGTTACTTATACTTTATTCAATAATTTGAGTTGGTCTTCATAGACGTAATACGTGTTGTGTATGCAAAATAAGTCAAATACATAAAGTAAACTTTTCTAAATAAATATTTATTAAAAATAAAAATATATAAACATTTTATTCAGATAGTATAAATTAATTTTATTATATGGCATTAAACAAGATATGTTTTTGAGTCGTAATTTCAATTTACAAAAGCTAGAAAACCAAAACTCTACTATATAATAACTTTTGAGTGATCATTAAGTTGTTTACTGCCACGTAAATATACGTGGAATATTTTCAAGGAGTGGCAAAATATTAATTACCTGTTACTATGAGATTATAAAAAAAAATCTTTTAGCAATCCAAGAAATACAATATTAAATTTAAAAAAACTTAAAACACTTAAAAAATTCAGTATATGGATGTATAATATGTATATAGATACAAATAATTTTAATCAAGAGCATAAGATAATACAAAAAATTGCTCTTATTTAATATACGTATATTCAAATTAAATAAGTAAGAAAAAACACTCTTTGTTGAAAAATTACGCTCAGAAGATATTAAAAATACCTAGAGGTAATATGAATAAATTATTTACAATATAACTACAATCTATAATATTAATTTATTTTAATCAAGAATTAATATCAATATTTGTAATTATGATAATTAAAATACAAGTATGAAATAGAGGAAATTCATGATTACATCCAAGTTATATTTAAAAATACAGCAATACTACATTTTAATTATGAATTGCAATGATATAAATATCAAATTTGATAAATTATATAAATATATATATATATATATATATTTATAAAATGTATAACTGATAAAGTTGAAGAATAAAAACGGTGAAACTGTCTCAATCTTTAAAGTTTATTTTTCTTTAAAAATACGGTATGTGTTATTATATGTGATGGCAAAAAAATTAAGTTGTAACATAATAATTAAAATTTTTGTGCAATAAACGGTCATTTTACGTTTAAGTATTCTATTTTTTTTTTTAATTTAAACTTTAAATTACCATAATTAAATTTGTTAAAAATATGTAATCGTATGCAAAAAACTGGTGTTGTACTGTTGTGTGATATTCTATTTTTTTTTTTTCTAATTTTGGTTTTTATCTTTTCTGATTATTTTAAAAAGTACCAGGACATATTCTAATATAGGTTCAATTTTCTACATGAAAACCACCAACAATTTTTGAAGATTGAAGCCATTTTACAACTCCAAAATATTACATTAATAACAGTTAAAATAATAATAATAATACAATTATCTATACATAATTGTATAATCAATATATTCATCACTTCGCTTAAAATATAAAAGATATTTATTTTTCATGGTAACATGGACATAAATTTATATTGAATTAAAAATAATAATAATAATAAGTGTAAAAAAATAAAAACTATAAGAATAATATTATTTTAATCAATTTTAAACAATACTCTACAGTAATGTCAGTTTATTTTCAAAGAATTATTGTGACATTTTTATGTATATATTTTGACCAAAGTATATATTATTAACGTAAGTTACGTGACTCAAATTATACTTTTTTGACATTTAAAATGTATATAGTCACATCAAGCTAATTATTCAGGAAAAAAAACATTTTATGATTTTCACTTCTACAATACTGATTAAATTATTAATTTAATTAATTTTAAACAAAACACAAAAATCTATAAGGGTATTTATTTAAAAATTTAATAATTAAAAAATTTTTTGTAGTAATAAGTAATTAATAAATAATATAAAGTAGATTTAATGTAAAATAGTATTTTAGTTATTATTTACTGATGTTTTCGAATAAATATTACTTGTATTTATAACATACTACTAGCATATTTAAATAATACGAGTATTTGGTAATATTTTTAATGAAAATATCCTTATAACATAATTCTTTTATTATTTAAGGAATAAAAATGATAATATATTACGAACAACATCATTGCAACTAGTTTATAAAATGTTTCTATAGATTTATAGATATTTAAAATAATTTATGCATTATCTTCATCAATAACTAATAAGATTTCTTTGATTACTGTATAATTACAAAATGTGTTTTTTGAGGTATTTATTATATACAAACTCGAAGACTGACACTAAAAAATATTATTGTGAGTTAGATACCTTGATAAGTAGGTATCTTGATTTTGATGTTCCATTTTTATTAAAGCTAATTTATAATGCTGAAAATTCAAATCTAAAATTGTTCGAAAAAAGTTACTACACTCTTACATTAGCATTTTACACATTATTATTAAGGTTGTTTTGGTAAATATATTATGTGTTGCTATTATAAGTCTTTCAACGGTCATTGAAATCAGTTTCTAAGTAAGTTTATAGTGCTAGATTTTATAACTTTTTGTGAAATTTTGTTACGGAACAGATCTCTTCTTATCTCGCGTGCTGTATTCCTGAGGTGTTATTTATTTTCCAATCAATAATTTAGTGGTACCGCACTAACCACTTGACTGTAATTAAATTGATACCAATAAATCTTTGAAGTAATTTTTATTTTAAAAAAACCTCTGTGAAAATTGTCTTGAAAAATTAAGAATATCACTTCCATCTCTGTCTTAGGTAAAATAATATATTTAGGTATATTATAAGATAAATATTTTATCTGGGAGTTATCA